ACAGCATAAGCATTTGGGCTTTTAATGAAACAGATGACTCAATGAAGTGTAGTCACATCCAAAGCACTATTAACGAAAGTGTCTGTGTTTGTAGCTTAGTTATGAAACACAGACAGCAAAATCTACATATTCCTTTTCACATACTCACAACACATGTCCATACCTTTGTCACAAAATAGACCCTTATATAACTATCTTTCTCTTCCCCAACCACTTCCCTCTTGTGTCCATCTACCATTGGTCACTACTAGTCGCTCCCAACTGCTGAGTATCGTTCTTTCGGTCGATTATTGACTGAATAGAATGGAAAAAACTTTTCGAATTTCGTACCTTCTGGATCTAATGATTTCGATACATATACGTATAGTTAAAAGCCAAACTCTCTCCCCCTCCCCCTCTTTCATATTCAGTCTTTGTGAAAAGTGGAGGGACTCTCAATTATTCTAAGGGTAGCACGTGCCAGCAACAACCACGCGCTAGAAAAGTTGCTGATGATTTTTTATATGTAGCTTCCTCCCCCAATTAGACAAAACAGTTGGAGTTACTTAACTTTACTCAAAGCATGGATATTGCTTTCTGTGCGTTGTAATCTAATGTCTCATTCCACATTCCCAGCCTCTTTTCTCAATTTCGCCCTTCACTTTCTCAGCTTAAAAAACCCTTAAACTTATTCCAACTTGCTCTAACGCAGCTCAGAATTCCAGGAGAATTTGTCGTGCAGGGTGATGATAAAGCCATTTTAGGTTACTGAACCTGACGATCACACAGCCATAAAGTACCAAGCAAGAGGAAAAATTGTTCTAACGTACTGTGTTAAACAAGAAAAAATTCACAGTTGTTTACATAAGAATCCAGAGATTTTTAGAGAATGCTTCTGAAATCTCTACAGCGGAGAAGCCAACATTTGTAGAGTATTACAGAAGGACATTAAAACCTTCCCCCGACGATTAACACTTTGAAAATTAAAGCTAATCAAATACCAGAAATTTTTTAATCAGTCAGAAAAATCCGCATGTTCTTTCTCAAATAAGAAAGTACTTGTTTTCGTTGGCTACATGAGTGAATGACTAAACGTCTCAAAATGTTTGAATGCATAACAAACTCCAACTGACATTTGGAAACAGTATGCGCCTGGAAAATGCAATTTAGCCTTTTAGTTCAGAAAATGTTCGAGATGGATGTCCAACCCCAGTTCCGTCTCCCATTTCTCCCTTTGTATTTCATAAGCAGAGCTACTGCTTGAATGTATTTCAAAAATAAACAAGATTTTTCTTTAGAGGAATTGCAAAATCCCAAAAATTTTCAAAAGTAGCTGTTTGTACAAGCCAATAATACCCATGTGAGTACAGGGCTCCAGCGATTCAGGTTAGCCAAGAACAACAGCGCGTTAGAACTGCAAACAGCTGAAAAACTGTGAACACCCTTATGGCACCACATATTTGTGCACTGGAGCAAAGAAACTGAGCATGAAGCTGCAATATTTGCGTATGCATGTGTGGTATGTGTGTATTCCAGGGAAAAGAGTCTGAGCATGAAGCTGCAAAATGTCTAACACTACTTCAGTTATAATCCCTGCAGTATACTCAGAGTATCCTTGGACATAAATGCTTTTCGCAACTTGTTTACTGGTTTCCACGGAAATATGAACTATTTGTTATGCCTATTACGTTTACTGCAACTGTCGTTTTCTCTTATTATTTCTTTTTTGCTTCGTTTTTTTAGCGCTACCGGTAGCTATTTGCAGTCTGCATTTTTTTTTTTTTTTTCAAGCGGAAAATCTTAATTCAGCAAAGCCTCAGTGGATTTGGAACTACAAATTTTCAAACAGTAGTATTCGTACTACCAATCCTACGGAAATCTTATACAGATCCAGCAACAGCTTCAGAATGGCCCGAAGAAAGGCTGACTATAAAACAAACCATTTATTCGTTAGTTAAAAATAACGTGGATATCACGCCTAAACAAATCTCCCTGAATTCATTCCTGCAACAACACTCGGAACTAACTCTCTTTCAGCAGTTACTCCTTGAGAAACGACGAGAGTTTTTACACTGGATAAAGTTGTTTCAGCTAAGACTAGACAAGAGGATGTTCATGAAAAACCAAAAATAAAAAGATATAATATTTATTCAGCCCTGCTTAAATGCGAATAATTAAAGGACAAAAAATTATGAAACAAGAATAGTACCATCAAAGTGTTATGTTGGGCAGAGGCACATTTTCCTCCTTGCAACGCGGATAGGAAAACTGCAACCGTTAAGTAGTTATTCAGTCTCCTTGCAATTTGCTGACTTCCCTTACTAAAGTTCCAGTGTACAAAATGCAGTGAGAAACTTTAAAAGACCCGCAAAAAAATCAAATGTAGACTCGCAGTTAGAAATTTTTCAACTTGTCAGCGATACGAAGAATCAGCTGGCTGAATGTATAAAAAAAGATTTTTTAAATGACAACTACAGTTACACGGCCGGGCCAAAACTCAAGATTTTCAAATTAAAATCGTAATACAAGAATTTAACCGTGCAAAATCTTGAAGGATGTGGAACGGAAGACGGGAAGAAGATAACGATAGAAAGAGACCCATTTCATTAAGGCGAAAATTTTTCGTGAACAGACAAAAAAGAGGGATAAAGAAAGAAGTTGCACCGAGCGAAAACAAATTTCTCTGCCGGCCTAGGCTGCTGCTACGTACTAACAGGCCAAAAATGCCCAAAATTAGGTTAGTGGAACAATTTTCGAGAATTGTTCTTACCCTTCATTTCTGAAAAATCGCAGGGATGTACTGTGAAATGAAGAAAAGACAGAAAAGGGGCGATGGAAAAGAGAGAAATAACAGCTGCGAAGGAAAAGAGAACCATGAGTATAAAAATATGTTAGTGCTTTCTTCTGCATCTGTTTAAAACGCTGCTTCAGTTCAAATTGGGACAAAATGATCCCGTACTGCCCACGGTCCAAATTGGCTTCCCTAAGTCAGTGCTGCGTAAAAGAAGGGTTAGATGTAGATTGATGAAAGAAATAATTCTGCAGGCCGGAACGACAAACTGTTCTAAAGGTATCCTCCGAGAAGTGGAAGATCGCTGCCATCTGAGAGAAGGCGCAAAAACGTAGTGACAAAAAACTAAAGTACAATAAAACACTGCACTCTGAAAATCTCGACTGCAGCGGATTTCAGAACTGTCCTTTAAAAGATGAATTCTCGGAAAGTGTTTTGGCTACTAAGGCGATCGACGCTTTTCCACAAACCCAAGCTGGAACTCACCAGGCAGGCCGGTGCGATCATGCGTTTTTGCACTACCTCGTGCTGTAGCAAAACTGTAAAGAATCAGCACCCTAAAGTTTCTAGCTTTTCTCGCTCCCAAGTTACTGATTTTCCCGCCAAAACTTTCACGTGTCCGAAAGCGAGTCCCGGACGGTTTTAAGGGGCTGGATTTGAAGTCTTTTGGTCGTATATGAGTAGGGAATATTCTCCCAAAGTTTCAGTTTCCTAGCTTTTCTCATTCTCGGGTCAGCAATTTTCCCGCCAAAACTTTCACGTGTCCGAAAGCGAGTCCCGGGCGGTTTTAAGGGGCTGGATTTGAAGTCTTTTGGTCGTACATGAGTAGGGAATATTCCCCCAAAGTTTCAGTTTCCTAGCTTTTCTCATTCTTGGGTCAGCAATTTTCCCGCCTAAACTTTCACGTGTCCGCACGTGAGAGGTAGATGTGTGTGATATTTGATATTATGTTCCTGGGGTCGCACTTGGCGAGGGAACACACTGGCAAAATTTCAGTTTCAGAATTCTCGTGGTTGCTGAGTACAAAAACCCGGACAGATGAACACACACCCAAAAATATACATACAGACAGGGTCATCGCAATGTGCGCTGTCAACACCTGTTGCAGCACTCTAGCGCTGCATTGGCAAAGACGCATAAAAATGAGTGGACCATTTACGACTGATAATTCTGGCGCAACTACTTGATAGGCTTCCAGAAATTCAAAAACTTGCGAACTCGCCGTTCTTTCGATGCGTGGCACGCGTTTTTGGGAAAACGAAATTTTTTTTTTTTTTTTATACATATCCATAGTTATGCAGATGGCGCTTAGCCGAATATATCCGGTGAGGATACTGCACATGGCACTCGCCCAAATTCCCAGCCCCGGTTTTTTACAAGATTTAACGGCTATGACCGAAAATGTCTGGGTGTCTGGGATGTCTATCGCAGTATTTCTAGCCCAAAGTCAACGTCGAAAAGAAGACAGTTTGCAGGAAGAAACCAATATGTACACCGCCAAATGGGTTCGCGTCGCATGAATCCTCTTTTGTTAAGCCTTGCAACATTTGAAAAGCAAAAGCCAAATTGGTTATTAAGTCAAAAGATGGGCAAAGAACATATGTTTTGTTGCTGGTTGTACGTTTTTTGTGAATTTCTGCACCACAGCGTACAATCCAAAAAAATTATACGAAAAAAAAAAATTTAAAAAAAAAAAACTTACTTTTTTTTAATAAATTCCCAACATAAGTAGACGGTAAAGAGACGGCTCGCTTACGCATTTTTTGGAAGGACTTCGCCAGCGAATACTTGTGGCTATTTTTCTTCGACCGTGACGCCCGTTTTTTTCGAGACTCTGTTTTCTGCGCTTCATCGACACTAAGGTCACCATCCGCATTTTCATGCTCTTCAAATACTGTTTCAAAATCGCCAACAGCAGCACTTTTCGCATCTTCTTCTTCAAAGCTTGTGCCCGAATCTAGGGAACGGCGTGGAATGTGAGTGTCAGAGGACAACGGCACAGGTGTTTGCTCAACCACTTTCTGGGCTTCATTTTCGTGCTCTACGCCAATTTCCTCACTTTGCATAGGTTTCTTTTCCTCAACTGCTTCAGCATCAATTTCCGCGTCTTCCTCAGACACGGAACCAACTCCGGATGATACACTGGACGTCGATGAAACTTTAGCAGCAACCTTCCTCCATCCGGACTCTGTTGGTGATGATTTGTCTGGCAGTGAGACATCCAACATTGGTGAAAACGAAAGCTTTTTCTCACTTTTTGTCGGAATTTCAGAAATCTTCCGAAAGGCGCTATCATCAACAGTACTTTTCCGGAAGAGGACACGCCTCTGTTCTTTATCACCATCATCAGCACTCTGCTTCAAAAATTTGTCGAAATTAACTGTATCAGAAGCAATGTCCAGCACATTTTCACCAAGCTCATGAAATTTTGTATGCAGAATTGGCGGCGGGAAAAATTTTTGTTTAGTGCCTGGGTAGCAGCTTAAATGGGCAGGCAGCGAATATTTCTTGGGCACGCTGCGCCGTATATAACGCATCTGACGACAGCTTTGTAGTTCATTTGAATTATTGTAAATGTCCGGATGCGATCCAGTTGTGCCCATTCCACTTTTCTCTAACGAATCCAATTAATCCTAATCCCGGGACACGTCAGCTTCTTCGCCTTTGATAACAGCAATATATCCGAAATCTTAAAAAATTTGATTTCCGCACGTGGATGAATACAAATGCAGGATATCCGCAAAAAGAGCGCCAGTTATGTATGACGTTATCTATTCCCTAAAA